CTCCAGTCTTTCACTGCTAAATTAGAAACAGCTAGCGTAGATGGCCCTCGTGTGGCTTTGCGCATAATTCAACACAAACCAAATTGTCAACTTCACATATTTTATATTAAGCAAACTTCATGTAGTTGTTAAGGAATTTGAGGAAACAATTTCATGATTAAAAAGACATTTATTTAGAAATTACAAGAAGGAGCTTCTGAGTGATATTCTTAATGTCCTGTTGCAATAAATGGAGAGTAAGACAAAACAAAACCGAATAAGAAATAAAAACTGGAAACATGCCTGTTTTTTTCTTAGAAAATTCAAATGTAGAAGCACGGACGAGGAAATATTTACGCCATCAATATTATCTATATTGCTCTTTTAATTTTTTTTGTATTTTTAATTGGGTATCAGATCAAAAAGGAAATGAAAAATAACTAATCAAAACTGAAAATATAAATTTAATAAAGGATATTCCTATTATGTGAAGATTAGCCGCATAACAATGACGTTTTGCTCTTCATAATCATTGAGATCTTGGAGTTTTAAATGATCTGTTTCGACCTTCAATTAATTATTACGTATTCTTGTGAATCAGCAATAAAATAATTTGTCAAATAGAAGTTTACTACTCATGCTTAGCCCGACAATAACAGTTTCACTGTTAATAACAAAATTATCTCTCCTCTTATTATTTTATTTATCAAACCCTTGAAAGTTTCCTTGATTTGTGTTGTTGTGGAATTTTTCAAAACATCAGGTGACTTTTGGCATAGTCTATGAAATAAAGATTAAATTTTACAGAAATATAATTTTGTCATTATGTAGGTGACGCAAGTGCAGTAGGTGTAGTTAAAACTGTCATCAAATAAATTGGTAGTTTTGTGTAGGTAGCCTAAATAACAGAACGATGGCACGATCATTAAATCCAGCACAACAGAAATTGGCTGAAAAATTAACCATTTTGAATGATCGAGGGATTGGAATGCTAACAAGAATATATAATATCAAAAAGGTGAGCTTTTAGTTAATGTGTATGACTATGAGTCTACCGACTTGAACTTGCCTCGTTGAAGGCGAAGCTATTTTCTGAATAGTACTACTAGTAGCAGTAGTATTCATGTTATAACGGGCGTAACTTTACGGTAAAGTTTACTCACTTCCGTTTTTAAACTTAAAGAGATTTCTGTACTGTGAAAGCTGGCTGGCACTGGGGACAGTTTTTACTGTAACTTAGTTTTTAGCGCCCGGAGTTTTCGAAACAAGGAAGGAGGAGGTTTTTGGTGTTTTTTTGGTAAATTACCTCTTTTGAAAGAATGTTTGCACCCGTTTTTATTGTTGCTTGTTGTCAAAGGGTCCATGTCAAACAGAAGTCTTCTTTATTTCATCGAAACGATACAGGATTTATAACAAAGAAAAAGGGCAAAATGAATCAACTGTGTTCATGTCATTTTTTTATTCAAAAGTCTTCTGTGTGATTGAAAAACGATAATTGAAAATATGAAAAAAATCGCCAAAAGAAAAGTGGGGGAGGCAGTTGCAGAAAAAGGAAGTGGGTAGGGATGCTAAACATGTATTTTTAATTACTTGGACTTGCATTATATTATTAGAAATAAGTTATGTGCTTACAAGTTATTAACTACTGTATTTATACTATTTTACATAGTAATTTAGTATATAGCCTGTAACACTTGTGCATTGTATTTTGTAATTTGTATTGTAAATTTATTTAGAACAGCATATAATCTGGTGGGTTTGCCTAATTTAGTAACTACCGAAAAGGAATGAAAGCAATTAAGAATAAGTGCTTAGTAACCCTCATCTGAGCCCTTTCCAACAATTCCGTGTTCTCCTAAGGTAAGGAGCCCAAGATTGAACACAATGCTATAAATGTGGCCTAACCAATGACCTATAGAATGAAATTATAACCTCTTTAGGCTTGTATTTAAAATTTCTGTACATACAACCTAAAATCCTTTTTTCCCAACTACTAGCAACAGCACACTGCTTGGATGGCTTAAGAGTCTGATCAACCATTACACCAAGATCCCTTTCTTTCTGACACTATTAAGGTTATTCCCATTCAAATTATACTTATAATTCAAATTATGATAACCCACATGCATTTATTACCTTTGCCACCAAAGTTACCAGAGGTTATGTTTTCACTCCTCTGTGTGTGTTTGTCAGCAAGATTTCTTGAAAACGGCTAAATTGATTTTGACAAAAGTTGGTGTACATTTGGATTATTATGACCCAACTTAGAAGTGGTTAGTCTTTGGAGGATCAAGGTCACGAAAAAATCTGTATCTGTTAACATGGAGACTGATTTTTCATACTATTTTTACTCTATATCTCAGTCGAAAATGATCAGATTTTGATGAAACTCTGTGGACTTGTGTAGAATATTATTCTTCATTGTCCTACCAAAAATGGTCTGTGTATGTTGATAATGATGGACCTACAGACAAATTTTTGTATTTTTTTAAGGCCAAATGTGATCGACTCTGCATGGCAGAGGTATGCAATCTACTGAGTGACCCTCTAGTTATAATTAAAACCAATTTGTCATTTATTTGCCCAACTCATTAAATGATCTGAATCTTTTTGTAAAGTAGCATCATCCTCTTCATAGCTAACGACACCCAAGAACTTAATATCATCAGCAAATTTTAGTAATTTTATTGATTCTTCTATGTTGTTTATGTAAATCAAAAAGAGTAAAGATACTAAGACTGAGCCCTAAGGAAACCAACTTTTGACTTTTATCCAGTTTATAACAATCTTATGATTTCTTCCATCCATCTACTCTTCTATCCAATTTGCTAACTTATCCCCCACACCGAGATAGAGAATTTTTTTATAAGTCTTTTATGTGGCACCTTGTCAAATGCTTTCTGAAAATCCAGATACACCAAATCTACACCCTTGCTCTCATCTACATATGCAGTAACCTATTCAAAGAATGTCAAAAGATATGTAAGATAAGATTTGCCCTTAGTGAAACCATGTTGACTGTCCAATAAAATTCTAAACTTTGTTAGATGACTTTGCAAAGCATATTTCATCAGACTTTTCAAAACTTTTCCCATAACTGATGTAAGACTAATAAGCCTATAGTTACTGGGAAAATTTTTATCACCTCCCTTGAAAAAAGGAGTGACATTAGCTAACTTCTAATCCTTTGGCACGTGTCCACTATTCAAGGACTTACAAAAAATAATAAGTGGCTTACATATCTTCTCATTCAAAACCCTTGGGGAAATAATATCTGGCCAGAACTTCCCAATTTTTTCCAAACAAGCTCAGAATTAATGCAGTCATCTTGTTTGACCTTGTTTCCATCTATCAACAGTTCAAGATGTGGAATACTGCTTAAATCTTTATTAGTAAAATGATGTTTGCAAGGTTTTTGTTGAAGACTTTAAAATGACTGAGCTTTTAAATGTTTTCTTATTTTTATAAGAGTAGATGATAGCATTTTGTGAAATATTGGGATTAACCATTGGTGTTAAAAAAATATTGAAAGATTAGAAATAAAGAACTATGACAAGATATGTTTTACCCTAAGTTTTGTAGTGAAGCCTAAAGATCGAAGAGTTGTTAACATTATATTTAAATTAGTATTAAATTGCAGCTTGCTGGGACTAAAGATATAAAAAAATTATAATCAAGAGGTTGAATTTAAATGGATTACAATTAGAAATTTCAAAGATGGAAAATTTTTAATTGACAGTAGTCATAGGCCATCTTGTCAACCTAAGCTAATTTGCTTTTGGACAGATTGATATAACAATATATGGACAATAAGGAACCATCCAATCCTTCAAGGCTGTCTTAGCACATCCACACTAAAGAAAAATAAAAATTTATCCCACCATTTATTTTTCAGAAAATCATCTATTAGATATTATCTATGTGTAAGGCTGTGGTATACATGTGACCTCACATAAGAATATTCTGTAAGTAATTAGTTCCTTGATGTAAAAAATATATTGATATTAAGGCTCTAACAATTCACCATAATTATTATTCATTGGCAACAGTTCATTTGTGTTGCATTTTGATTTGTATTTTTTTCTTCTTTTCTTCTTCTGAACATCCTATTATATTATATAAAAACAAATGCTTTGAATAATATAAATTACAAATGTACTTTACCCAAGCTAGATGTGATCAGTCTATGTGCTTCATAATAATTCTAAATATAGATTTCATTATTTTTAGTAACACGGCTTAAAAATTTCATTAGCCAAGTTTCTAATTTCTTATGAATACTGCTTATCAAATTATTCAGTAAACCAAACTACCACGTGCTGTGTCAACAATGGCTGACTTATTAAAGCATTAAGTAGAGGACTCATCTTTGTCCTATAAGTAAGAGTAAGAAAACTGGTTGTTCCAAAATGATACTTAAAATATATGAGGTGGAGGTCAGTTATAAAATGGGAACAACATCAAACATGGCCATATACCTGAGAAGAAAACGTGATATTATGTTACAAGAAATAAAGGAAATTAAAGGTAAATTCTCATAAGCTTCACTTTGTGTAAACAGTAAAGAGCATGGTGCTCAGCTGAAACTCCAGGAAGCATTTAAAACTATTTTAAAATTTAAACCCGAATAGTCAAAAGACAAAAGATATAACAAATGTAATAGGAATCTTTATGGCTGAAGATATGAGACCAGTTTGATTGGTGGATAATCCTGGCTTCAGGATTCTGTCTATGGTTTTATAAGATACAAGACCTCTTCTAAGACTCACTTCAGTACTGTAGTATTCCAGACTGGTACAAAGAGGAAAAGGGTGAGCTTGACACTGAACTGAAAGCTGCTTCTTCTGTTGCCCTTAACAGTGATGAACTTCAAGATCTACTGAAAGCTACATTACTATTAGTGGGCAGTTTTTAAACAACAACTGGGAAATGAAAAGTTCCATTCTACAAACAAGACAGATAAATGAGGTGCATACAGCTGAGCACATGGTGGATGTACTGAAAGAGGCTGTATCTTCTTGGGACTTTATAAAGGTTAACAATCCAGCTGTTACAACTGATAATGCAAGTAATGTTTACAATGCAATAAAACTGACAGAACTTTCACCCCATGTGTGATGCTTTGTACCCACTGTTAATTTGGCTTTTTGGAAAATTTTTCATGTGTTCCAAGTGGATAGGCTATTAAGGGCAGTTTTCTTATTCCACAGAAGTTCAATGGCAAATGCTAAACTGAAAGCAAATCAATTTATGTATAAGCTTACTTAGAACAAGCTGATTCAAGATGTCCCAACCAGGTGGAATTCTAGTTTTGACATGCTTTCTTGTTACTTGGAGCAATAGCCCACAATTTTGGCAACATTTATGGACAAAGAAGTTTATATGAATAATTATATTAAATAGTGTTTTTGATATTTTTGCTATAAAGCTGATATTTAAGAAATATATGTACTATTTCTTTATAAGTGCATTTTTTTCATTTTGCATATGTTATTCTAACAAATTAACTTATTCTTATGTATTGTTATGTATCTGTTTGTTTGTTAATATACGGTAGAAATTATTTCCGAGGAACTTCAACGATACAAGTCTTTTCTTGATTAAACCAGTTTATTCTTTCCCGATACAACTTTTAGTAATACATAAATTTCCACACTCACTTTAAACTTAACTACTTTTATAAATACATGCTATAATTCACAGCGATTCACACACTTTACTTATGGTGCCTATTGTTCGCTTGACTCAATTATCTCTCTCTTCAATCTATCTGGCTTTATATACTAAAAAAGAGGGCATCTAGCAAATACTGGGATATTCGTGAGGTTCCCCGATAAGTCACGATCCTTCTAGAAACTCCAGGGCGCATGCTCCCAGCGTTGCGTGTCTTTCGCTGTTGTAACAGTATTATGATAAAAGAATTGTTTCATATTGCATCATGAGGTAAGCATCTCATTACAGCCTGCTTGATATCCTGATTCATAAAAGTGGTATCAATATGATACTTATAGTAACATGAAAAACTTACATGTATATATGGAATCACATAAATAGTTGCACTTGATCCAGCTGAAGTTTACAAAAACTATAGGTAGTTTTGTTCAGAGTTCTAAAATTTCTTGAGACTTTGATTGACAACCTGTACAAAGTGTTTTGACTGCTGGACTGGTGAATAGCAAAGGTTATTTGAATATCAAGTATAATAAATATAAGCTTTAGGATATTATATGTTGTCTCATTTTTAACCAATCGGTTTTCTTTAAGAACTGTTTATAGGGATCATGCCTGACATTGTATAATGCATATATGTTGATAATTTGTATTATTTTTTGTAAGCTTTTGTCTGTAAAATATATTGATGAAAAATATTACTTTGAAGTTGCAGTATATTTTCTCATTGCATCCAATAATAAATATAAATACATATTCTGTACTACAATATATCATGTTGAAATGAAAAAATATGTTCCAAGAAAACCTAGTATACAGTGAGAATTTTTTAGGTTCTATGGTAAATGTGAAATATAGAATGTAAACTTAATATTATACAGAGCAGCCAAAGAACTAAAACCACTATCTTTGGAGAATATTTCGTACATAAATAATTTGATTTTTAGGAACAAAACATGCATGATATCAGATAATTTCAAGTGAAAGATAATCCTGAGAATCATACACAATATAGTTGTACTAAATTTACCTAAAAAATCTAGCTATCATTTATTTCAAATTATACAAATCCATTTTTTTCTTTGGACAAAATGTTTTACATTCTAGGCCTTTTGAGACAAAATGCTGCATGTCTATGGATAAAGTGCCACTAGCAAATCACTTTTGTTGGAAATAGGATATACTGGTTTTTAACATTTAGTCACTGAAATTTTACAGTGTAGCATTTAGAATATCCTCATGCAAGAATAGATAAATAAATCCTGGTAAACATTAGTGCTGC